GCTGCTTGATGAAGCCAGTAGATGGCAGGGCCAAGCTTCGCGGCCAGCTGTGACAGAGTGTGGCCCTGGAGGCCATATCCTTCCTCCTTGCCCTCAATGTGGTTTATAGGAAAAACAATTTTTTGAGGGGGAGGGGACAAAGCCTTTGTAGCAGTGTAAGAAAATGTCATAAATACTCAATCATAGTTTTGTTTTTGCAGTTTTTCAGGTTTCTCTTTTTAGGCAGCTTTTTCCCTCTCAATGCTTCCTGTTTCAGGGTGGGATACTTGCGTGTGTTTTATTTGCTACCAAACCTTCTGTGTCCACACAGGGTGCCTGGGGTGGCTGTGGTGTGGCAGGTGTTGCAGAGGGAGGGGCAGCTATGTGGGTGTTCTTTCTGGATCTGTCTCCCTTGACCCAGCTCTGGCTCTGCGCAGAGCCTCTCTTTTACAGCTGGATCAGGTGTTTGACCTGCCTCCTAATTTGGGGTGGTTTTCTCACTCTAGTGAAATCTCACTGGTGATGCTTTTCAGATGAAGCCGACGAATGCAGAAAATTCAGGACCATGCTGTGGGTTGGTTTTCACTGGAGGACAGTGTCTTGCTCTTTTTTTTTTTTTTAAGATTTATTTATTTATTTGTAAGAGTTACGGAGGTTGGGGGGAGGTCTTCCGTCTGCTGGTTTACTCCCCAACTGGCTGCAATGGCTGGAGCTGTGCGGATCCGAAGCCAGGAACCAGGAGCTTCTTCCGGGTCTCCCATACAGGTGCAGATGCCCAAGGACTTGAGCCATCTTCTACTGCTTTCCCAGACCATAGCAGAGAGCTGGATCAGAAGTAGAGCAGCCGGGACCTGAACCGGCGCCCATATGGGAAGCGAGCACTGCAGCACTGGCCCCAGGGCAGCCTGCTCTTAACTTTACTAGATTTCCAAAGGAAGCCTTGCCTGTGTTTCTGGCAGATGTGTTGCTTGCATTTCAGTGTTCTGTGATTTTTTTTCCAACGTTGACTCCATGTTTCCTATCCCGGTGAAAACCCTTTCCTGTCCTCCTGAGCTTCAAACCAGTGTAATACTCTGTCCCCCATATTTCCAGCCTTGCTCCCCACCTGCTCCTCAGGCCAGACTCCCGGCCTCACCCCTGAGCCTGTCCTGTGCCGCCCTTTGCCTCCGCCACCTTCCAGCAGCTCTGCCCCTTCCTCTGCCTCCCCTCTCCCCTGGCGTCCCGCTGCCTGCCACCAGAGCTGCTTTGCCACTCACAAGTTGAGTCCAGACTGCAGGGCAGCTCAGCACCTGGGAGTCTGTTAGGAATGCAGAACTTCAGTGTCGCCCAGGGGGATGGGTGAGCACTTTGCAGTGCAGGGAGCTCTGCCCCATCAAGCTGCTGTCGTGGAATATGACCCCTCAGGTGACCAGAGTGCTGGAACCCCCTTGTTCTATAAGAAGTTTTGGACTAAATATTTTTGTCATATCGATTTTCTCATCCTTGGGGCAATACTTTGGCTACATCTAGGGGTAGGAACAAATGAATCTGTTTGGGGAGAACTCTCCTTGCCTAGCCATATGAATGAAGTGAGGGTGTTGGGAAAAGCTGGTCTCATGTAATTGAGAGACTGTTGCCAAGGAATGACGCAAACAGCAACCATCATCACTGTTTGGAAAAGAAATTGGGCCAGGGGGCACAGTTTTGTAGAAAGACTATTTCATTCAAGAAGTATTTATGTTTTTGGGGATGGGTGTTTGGCCAAGTGATTAAACTACTGGTTGGGACACCTTCACCCCAGGTCCGAGTGCTGGGGTTTAATACCTGGCATCAGCTCCTGACTCCAGCTTCCTGCTGATTCAGACCCTGGGAGGGGGGCGGGTCATAGACCAAATATTTGGTTCCCTGCCACCCACAGGGAGACATGGCTTGAGCTCCTGGCTTCCCTGAACCCTCATTGTTGTGGGCATTTGAAGAGTGAACCATAGGATGGGCGCTCTTCTGTTGGTCTTTTTGCCCCTTTCTCTCTCTGTTTCTCAAGTAAATGAAAATTTATATAAGAAGAAATATTTATAGTTTTCAAATTTTTTGCTTTCTGATGTTCCCCTAGAAGATAATTAAAGACATCCAGAGACCCCTTCTTTCATTCTTTTCTTTTTTAAAGATATATTTATTATTTATTTGAAAGAGAGAGAGAGAGAGAGAGAGAGAGAGAGAGATGGATAGATAGATATTTATCTTCTGTCTGCTGGTTCATTCCCTAAATGGCTGCAACACTCAGAGCTGGGCCAGGCTGGAGGCAGGAACCAGAAGCTTATTAAAACTGATCTCCCATGTGGGTGCAGGATCCTTGGGCCATCTTCTGCTGCTTTCCCAGGCACATTAGCAGGGAGCTGGATCAGAAGTGGATAAGAAGTGGAGCATCCAGGACACGAAACAGCACCCACAAGAAATGCCAGTGTTGCAGGCAGCAGCTTTACCTGCAATGCCACAATGCTGACCCTTATTTCTGTTTTCTAATAAATACACACTACAGATTATGGAGGTTTAGAGATAGCACAGTTCATATCCATGGTACAGTGACACATGTTTTCCTCTACTGTGAGTTTTGCCGTGTCCTTAAGCAGTAGAGGTTTAGGAAAAGGTTGTGCAGTAAAAAGGGTGGTTTAGGAATGGGGGGGTACTGACTGACCCCCTGGTCAGCTGGTTAAGAGGGACAACAGAGGGGCATGGAAGAATGTGAGGGTATGGATACTTAGGGCAATACAGAGCCACATACAGGCTTCTCACCCCTTCTTTTTCTTTTTGCTGCTTTTGTGATAGTGTTGGTAGGAGCAGTATCTGACATGACTCCTCCTTTTTGTTAGAATGTGGTAAGTTAGTTATAGGTTATTCAAAAGAGTTGTATATGCACACACACACACACACAGAGTTTTCTCACTGCATTGTCATAGAGCCCAACACTCTGGTGAGGTAGGAAGTGATACTAGCCATCTAAGTGCAAAAGACTAAAAACTGTGTTTTCCCAGACCCTACCCCTAGGTTGCTTCCATGCAAAGGAATTTCCTGCCCAATGAGTCTTGGCTGATTATTGTGCACTTTGACTAATGATTTGGAAGTTTGGAGTTAGGAGGCCTTCATTCACACTGAATGTAAAGTGGAGGTGACTTGGAGCTCACCTCACTCAGGAGACATTGTTCTCTTGCTGTGCACACGGGGAGCATGCGTGGAGACTAGACCCTGCCCACCGCTGCTGGCTTTCACGGAGCAGGGGCAGGTGACTCGACGCAGGAAGGGCCTGGGCTGCGGTCCAGTTCTGCAGAAGCTTCTCATGGTGTCGGCCCTAATGCTGGAAACACATGGAGACGGGTCCTCGGGTTTCAGATCTTACTCATGTGGCAGAAGTTGTTGAATTAAAAAAGTGTCAGATCTAGAAACATCCAAAAATGGATAAAGGGAATGGAGATGGGAAAGTGTTGGGTATCTTACGAAAAGAAAACAAGAACTACTGAATTTCTTAGGAGTTTGTGTTTGGTGAAAAACATTTTAAATGAACATATGTTGGCCAGGTTATTTGATATAGAATCTTCCTGGTAATTTGAGGGTAGGTAGGGCTGGATATGCAAAGATAGCAGTCCAAATTGGAGTAATTAGGTAACTTTGAGTTAATGCAGAGTGAACTAGAAGTTCATAATTATTGAAAATAGTTATGGGCTGCATAAATACACTTTTCTTTCATCATAAATGCACAATAGCATGAGTGATTTTCTTTGATACCTAGGTTATTCTTATGATTTTTTAACAGCACGTTGCCGGTCTGGTGCCTTTGAAGGCTAACTCTGGAGTGAAGCTTTATGGGAGTTGTCTGGCAATACTTTAAAACAATAAAACCAAAATCAATTTGATCTTGAGTATTGCAAAAAAATGGTTTATTTAAGATTTCCATTTGTTTTGTTTCAAAGCTTTGTTGTTTTACCTGCTTATGTAAAATTTTTTTTCTTTATAGCAGTATTTCCAAAATGGGATCCACAAACTATATTTTGTTAATATGTGTTAAATTACGACCACTTATTTACTGCATGGTTTCTTGAGGCCTTTGACAGCTTAACATTCCTGCTGATTCCTTTCCAGTGAGATTCAGTATCTCATGTTTACCAAGTTTATTTTACTTTCCTGACCCTCTCCCTGCTTGTTAAAAAAAAAATTTACTTATTTGAAAGGAGGAACGGGGGCAGAAAGAAAGAAAGGAAGAAAGAACAGAGAGAGAGATCTGCCGTCTGCTGCTTCACTTCCCAAATACATGCGACAGACAGGGCTGGGCCAGACAGGAGCTGAGAGCCAGAAACTCAATCTGGGACTCCCATGGGTGCGAGGACCCAGCTACTTGAACTGTCACCTGCTGCCTCCCAGGGTGACTTTCAGCTGGAAGCTGGCATCAGAAGCAGATCTGGGACTCGAACTCAGGCACTGCAGTGTAGGGTATAGGTATTCCAAGTGGTATCTTGACTGCTACACTGATTGCCTGCTGTCTCCCTTTCAACCCTTTTTGATGGAGTATCTACCATAGAATACAGTTTGGAAAGTGATGCTCTTAGCAGTTTCCTATATATTAACTCACTTCTCATCACAGCAGTCCTGAGGAACAGAAAGATTTGTTGTTCCCTGTTGCATGAGGGTGGAGCTGAGTCCCTTGTGAGTTTAGACTGGCACAGGGACCCAGGTCTCCTCATGACACACCGACTTGGCCCCGTGTGGCCTGGCTCTCTGCTGGCAGAGAGGGCAAAGATCTGGGGGATGGGTTGGCCTCAGGTTCCTCTGCCCTGTGGTGGACCCAGGGACTCTGATTGGAGCAGTCCGGAGCACTTTCTGATTGGAGTCAGCTGAAAACAAGGGTGAGGGCATCAGCCCTGTGTAGCTGCTTTGCAGTAATGGCTCAGGCTGCTCCCCAGGTCTGCCTTGGAGTCGCATGGATAGCAGGTATCCCATTATGTTTCACCAGTTTCCACCCCTCGGTACTATGTCACATTTTGCTTTTCTTGTAGAAAGAAATCCAAGCCATGAGTCAGTGCAGCCATCCCAACGTAGTGACCTATTACACCTCTTTTGTGGTGAAGGATGAACTTTGGCTGGTCATGAAATTGCTAAGTGGAGGTAAGTGGGCTTCATTAATGTTTGCTGCTTTTCTTCTCGCCTGTCCCCTCCCTTTCTTTCAATTTGTTGGTGATGGTGTATCTAATAAGACTTGAGACTGGATCCCCTCACTTCTGGGCTTACCACTGCCACGGAATAAAGGCCAGCTTTCTTAGCATTGATGCTCATTAAGCCTTTCATCATTTGGCTTAATTTCCCAGAATATCCATGTCCCCTTTTCCATGTATTCAGTGTCCCACCGTTCAAGGTGCAGCTGATGGCCTTGCCTGTGCTCTGCCCGACCTTAGATACCCCTCCTCCCTTTCCACAGTTCAAGCCCTGAGAAGTCTCATGCCCTCTGTAGCCACTGCTTCCTCTCTTCAGAAATGGTGCTGAGCGTTCCTCTTTCAACCCTTTCTTTTTAATTGTGACTCAAGTCTTTAACACACTGCACTCTACTGAATTATTATTTCAGTGCTACTTCTGAGAGGTTCCTGTGATGATGGAGATGGGCTGCAGCTGTGCTGTCCACTTCCCACTAGTGACACACAACTCTTGAGCACGGGAAATGTGGCTGGTGTGACTGATAGACTGAGCTTCCACTAAGTTTTAACTGACTGACTTTTAAATCACCTCATGTAGTTAGAGACGGCGGTATCGGACAGTAGAGATTTGGGTAGTGGATCTTCTGGAAAAAGAACCGTCTGATGTACTTCAAATTCATTGAACCTGGCATTCAGTCAATACTCAGTAAATGTTACTGCAACTGACATGGAGAGAAACGCATGCTAAATTGTGTTTGGACCAGAAGTAGTACTGTTTTCATCCTGTGGTTGCATTTCTACAGCATTTAAAAATTTTTAGAAAAGATTCATCTATTTGAAAGGCAGAGAAAGAGAAAGAGAAGAAAGAGAGAGAATTCTTTCTGTCTGCTGGTTCATTCCCCAAATGCCCACATCAGCCTGGGCTGGGCCAGGCTGAAGCCAGGTGCCTGGAACTCCACTGTGGTCTGTCACTTGGGTGGCAGGGGCCCAAGCACTTGAGCCATCCTCTGATAACTCCTGGGATGCATTAGCAGAAAGCTGGATTAGAAGTGGAGGTGCTGGAACACAAACTGATATGCTGATATGAGATGTGGGCATCCCAGCTGGTGACTTAGCCAGCTGTACGTACCACCCACTTCATTTTACAGACCTGAACGTCTAAGCGTAGAAAGCCCTTGCGGCTTCCTCAGCATATCTCTTCATCTTGTGTGTCTCTTTCCTGGGCATCTCTCCCAGGATATAGATCTGAGAGCTCATAGAGGGTTTAGGGGCAGAGAAAGGACAAGGCCAAAGCTGGGCTCGTGGGATTTGTATGACTTAGCCCATTCTCATCTCCAGACCCAGTTCTAGCTAAGGCTAAATACAGAAGACCAACTCTATACTAAGTAAAGATTTCAACAGTTTGCACCCACACAGACACACAAAGTATAAAGTACTGTTCAAAGACAAGTTTTACTGTTAATTTTCATAGTACAACTCATTAAGGACAGAGGTCCTACATGTTATTTATTTATTCATTTAAGAAACTCTCCTTGGTCACGCAGGGCCAGAAAATGAGATGAGAGCAGCATTGTAACTGGCTTGAGTCAGCTGGCGTCAGTCTTAGCAGGGTGCTAGGGGAGAACTTAGTTCTGTTCCCAGTCTTCCTCAATCCTATTGAACTTTGTTTTCCTGAGTGCCTGCATAGTTTTTTTGTATGTTTGTTTGTTTTTAATTTATTTGACAGGTAGAGTTACAGAAAGTGAGAGACATAGGTTTTAATTAAGTAGAAAAGAAACAGAAAAGAAAGAGAAAAGCTGCTGGAGCTGGCTGCAGAGCTGAGCGTTGACTGCCTCTGTGCTCCCTGGAGGTCGGTCCTGCTCTGCTCCCAGGATCGTCCTAACCCATTCCCTTCTGAGCGCTTCCACCAGGGCAGAGAGTCCCACATGCGCTGTGCAAGCTGAAGGTGTTGGCTCAGTCCACCTTTGGCTTTTAGAAACTTGAGACTGGTCACCTCTTTTCTGAGGACCTGAGATAAAACTCCTAGTCTTTTTACAGGAGTCTGATTTAGGCCTCCTGAGCTTTGGGAGGAGGAGTGGGCTGAGCGGGTCTGCACAGGTAAGGGAGACAAGGGCAGATGCTGCTTGCTCTCTTTCCAGCAGGCCAGAGATGCATGCATGCCGCATGTGCTATTATCCTTATACAATAAAAATAAAAGGTGGCCTTGAATTACCATTTTTTTCTAAATGACCCAAACATCCAAGAGTCACCAGATACGCAGATTTTTTTCTCTCCCAGGAGACTAAAATCTGTTTGTTTTCCTTTATAATATTTTATTACATCGAATCTCTTAATGATTGAGTCTTATGCAGTAATATCTGATGGGGAAACAGAATCCACTTAGCTAATCCCAGAGAGCCTAGAGCAAAATTCAGGTCTTGAGGTGAGCCGTTTGTTAACTCTTCAGAAATGTGGAGCCCTCAGGTAACTTGGCTTTCTAAAATGACCCGGAGGTTTGGGATATTAATTAACGTGTGTTGAAACTTGAATTCTCAGTGCCAAGGATACTAATCTACGTGTGGTAAGAAAGTACGGGTTACTTATTCCCTTATTATAATGTCAGTTCGTCAGGCAGCAGGTAAGTGATATAACGATTGGTGGAGTCACAGAACAGAGTCTCCTGGTTCTGGCAGAGCTCTGGTGGCAGCGTACTCATCCCCCAGCCGCGTCTGCCCTGTTGGGAAGGCGCTGAAGGCCCTCCACCCAGTAACTCACTGCTCTCTTCTCTCCTGGCCTGCCATTCCTTTCTTTGTCACTTCACACTTCTTGAACCCCCTTTGGAATGTGTACCCACCCAATTGCATGTCCAGGAAACGGCCCTGACCAGTCTTCTGCCTCCCCACCCACAGTCCTTCCCGTGAAGCTGACACCAGAAGTGTTCTCACAAACTTGGATTTTGTGTTGCTGTGTGTGGGGCTGCCATTCAGTTGCTAGTATGCCTTGGGAATGTTTGCATTAAATAAATAAGCAAAAAAATTGTATTTTGAGGTTGCTGTTTAATTTTGTTAATAGTAGAGGAAGCCCTGTTCTTAAAGGTTAAGGAAGGGGCTTATGAAATCACCTGCTCAGCTCTTCTGTTTGCCCACTTAGGTTCCATGTTGGATATCATAAAATACATTGTCAACCGAGGAGAGCACAAGAACGGTGTTCTGGAAGAGGCCATCATAGCAACAATTCTTAAAGAGGTCTTGGAAGGCTTAGACTATCTACACAGAAACGGTCAGATTCACAGGTATGGTCTCTGCAGAGATGGTTCAGGTCTGCTGTTTGGATCTAGCCCTACTTTGTAAAGCATTTTGGGGGAACCCATGTTGCAGGTGTGGGTCCGCATTACTTCCAACTTAGGATAAATATATGTGAAAAAATACTTACAGAGAAATGAGAAAACATGTGGATGGAATTAGGTTGACATCATAGGGATTAGTTTATCTGTTTTCACTGAAATAAGAACAGAATATAAGAAGTGCTGAATGTACTCATTAAAAAATCACTTGACAGAAGTATTCCTAAAGTGTACTCAGTTGAATATGATACTATCTCTGACTTTCAAATACAGGTCAGACTGTTCCGAACATTAATTTGTTAATTATTTTTGACATGGTGGTTAGAGGGAAGGAGAAGATACCGTTTTCATCTCCTTTTGTGGTGTAAAATACTAATTCTTTAAATAACCAAACAGCATAGAATGTGAGCGCCCGGTCTTTCTAGTGGGTTAGTGGTACTTGAGTTGTTAGGCATTCTATCATGTATACATCCATTTACCAGTAATATTGACAATGTAATTTTACTCCTTTGAGTTATAAGTGAGCTTTATATTTGATGGTATCTACTATAGTTTTCTTTTATGTTTTTAAAGACTTTTTTATTGATTGTTTGGAAAGGTAGTGTCAGGGAGAGAGGGGAATGGGTAGAAGAGAAGAGGGAAGAGAGATATCTTTCATCTGCTGGTTCATTCCCCAAATGGCTGAAAAACCCAGGTCTGGGCTTGCTGAAGCCAAAACCTGGAACTCCCTCCTGGTCTCCTAAGGTGCATTAGTAGGACCTGGATTAGAGGTGGAGCAGTCAGGACTCAAACTGGCTCTCCTATATTTTTCAATAATTAGGAAAAAATACTGCTTAAGAAATCTAACATATTTAACAGTTACCTTTGTAAGTTTTAACATCAGTGATGTAATTTCAGTGTTTGTGAAATAAAAATTACGTCAAACAGTGGCATTTTGATTTTTAAAGCATTCCTAAGTGCATCAGTGCAATATAATGCCACAACTCAGTTTCCCATTGTTTTTCTAACAGAGACTTGAAAGCTGGCAACATTCTTCTGGGTGAAGATGGCTCCGTACAAATAGCAGGTAAAGCTGAGAAAGATAAAAATCCTTTGCTTGTTTACAAGAGCGAACAGTTTTAGGAAACATCGAATCATTCCTATGAATAAATGCATGTAATCTCTTTTAAGAATGTATCTGGGCTGCCCTGTTTTGTAGCACATGAATTTAAAAAATGTTCGGGTGCAAAGCCTAACATGGTTTCTTAGTGTTTTGATAAATCTTCCTTAGATCTACGTGTAAATAATGCTATTTTAGTACAGAGTGTTGCAGCAAACAGTTTTACTTCCAATTTTATGATGTTTTTGACCTTTCAGGTTGAATAGTGGTGATAGTTACAATAATAACTGCAAAAAATACTTTTTGGAAAAGGGTTTTTGATGAGTTTGAAAGCTGAAAGTGTTGCATACATTACTCAGAAAATCCTTGGTTTCTGTGAACTCTGAAGATCATATTTTGTTCTGAAGTCTGACCTAACAGGGCTGTTGTTGACAGTTGTCTGGTGGGGGATGCAGGGAGTGTCTTGATTGAATACCTCAGATGGTCTCCTGCCAGGCTCAGAGTCTTGCATTTTGCTGGTATAATCCAAAAGGCCCAGGATAAAAAGTAGCCCTGGCCCTGTTAACTCTCATCTCACCCCACGTCCACCAAGGCCTGCCTTGGCGATCCTTTCAGGGGGCCCCGTCTCTCAATGGTGATGCTTCCTTCCCTGTACCGACTGTCCCTGCCATTGCAGGGTGCTCAGCCTTCTGGCGTGCAGGCACCAAGGATGGTTGGCAGCACTTCCTACGCCTCCTTTGCTAAAATTCACTGATCTGGCCTCTGTTGTTGAAGAATATTGAAGTTAGCTGCAAATGTTTAATCAGCCCATTCTGCTTCCTTTTGAGTTGGGCTGGACAGCATGTACATTTTCCTGTATAGATATAGGACCTTCACATACCTGGTTACTAGACCCACATCTATCATAGTCTCGAGTGTCAGTTTGTCTAGCAAATCTGAGGGCTTGAGGGTTATCGACAGAAGTGCATGAGTTCAGCAGAGAACAAACATCCAACACAGAGAATGAGTTTTGCGTCACCTTCTTACTCCATTGTTTGCCCTTGTCCAGGTGTTGGAGAACCTGTCAGAAGAGGTCCTGGCTTGTGTGATGAGCAGGAGGCTGACCTCAACCTCTGATCTGGGTTAGGTCGACCTAAGGGAACTTTTTATTTTGTTTTGTTTGTTTTTAAAGGATGGATGTCAGGTTTTGAAAATGCAAATGAAAACAGGAAATTTGTCTCAAGTCAACTCTTTCTTCCCTGTTGAATTAAGAATAAGAGTGATTAATCTAAGACCCGCGGGAGGCGCCGTGTACCAGTTCAGCATACAGGCTTCCGAATCCTGCGGCTGGTTTGATACCCACACAGTCAAACCACATTTCCCCTTCCCTGAATTGGTGGTCACAGTGCCTGACTTGGAGGCAGACACAGATTTCTCCTAAAGTAGCTGATCTGGGCCCCTGTGAGCACTACAAAGGTAGCAGCCACAAAGTATTTCTTTTCTTTTCTTTTTTGAAAAATATTTATTGTTTGAAAGAGTTACAGAGAGAGGGAGAAGCACAGAAATCTTCTGTTCTCTAGCTTACTCCTTGCATGGCCACGACACCCCTGGAGGGGCCAGGCCGGAGCCGGAGCCAGGAGCTTCTTCTGGGACTCCTGCTTGGGCGGCAGGGGCCCAGGCACTTGGGCCATCTTCCACGGCTTTCCCAGGCCATTAGCCGGAGCTGGTTTGGAAGTGGAACAGCCGGGACACGAACTAGCGCCCATAGGAGATGCTGGCATTGGAGGTGGCTATGTTACAGCCAAAAGGTATTTCTGTGTAAGAATTATTAATTTTTCTGAAATGATCCTAAAAGAAAGGGCCCAAATCTGTAAGACTTCAATTATTTCATATGACTTTTTACTTTTAAAGAGATATTTACATTTGCTTTGAACTTTGTATTTATAATTTTGTATTTAATTTAATAAGGGTGTTCCCAATTTTATGTAAGATTCATGTCCCTTGAAACCTGTATCCACCCCTTTTTATAGGACTGCAAATAGGTAAATAAAGGTGTGAAATATTTATCACAATCACCAAAATGGACAGTGAACAGGAACAGGTAACTGAAGAAAATGAAAGGCGGCCCTTACTGAAAGTGAAAATGCGCTCGAATGCACTCCAGCAGAAATGTGCTGATTAAAACTGTTTAAAGATATTGTTTGTTACAAATCCAGAAGGTCAATGGTGTGCTGCTGTTTTGGCCTGTGGGAAATGGCATTTTCACACCTTGTTGGTAGTGGTGCAATATGTTATACCCATGGTTGGGGAGAATCAAGTGGCATCTCTTAAACTGCCTTGTCCTAGCAATCCCGTGGAATGTCAGAGTGAGCTCACAGAAACCATTTGTGTGCATCTCCCCACTTCACTCTCAGTACATCAAGCCCTCTGCTTGAGGTCAGCCACTGAGAGAGTATTTGCCCCTGGGAATGAGTAGGCCTATCAGCAGGGTTCTCTTTCTGAGCTGGTTGTTGATCATTTACTAGTGTTCTGCTGCTGCCACCTCCCTGCCAAGAATTTATCTTGCAACCATCCCTATGTGTGTTTGGCATGAGCCATGCATGAAGTTATTTATGGGAGTATAGTTCATGCTAGTAAAATATTGGAAGCAACCAGGTGCCCTGGTTAAGTATGTGGTACATCCATGTTGTGGAATACCCACCAGCTGTTGTAGGGGATGGATACACTGGCAGGGAAAAAAACCCAACAGGCTGCAGGGTTAGGGGAATAAGACAAGATTGATAAATATATATATATGTATATATATGTATGCATGTATATGTGTATATATATATAAAATATGCTGTCTTTTGTGAATGAAATGTAGGGAAATAAAGGTATTTATTTCTGTGTTTTTCAAACATTTATTTGAAAGGTAGAGTGACAGAGGAGGGAGAAGCAGAGAGGGCAAAAAGAGAGAGCGGGAGGGAGAGATTGAGAATGGGAACAATATCTTCCATCTACTGGTTCATTCTGCAGATGCCCTCAACAGCTGGGGCTGGGCCAGGCTAAAGCCAGGAGCATGAAATTCCATCCTGATCTCCCACATGGGTGACAGGGGCCCAAGTACTTGGGTCATCTCCCACTGCCTTCCTATGTACTAAAGCAGGGAGCTAGATTAGAAGTGGAGCTGCCAGAACTCAAACCAGCACTCCCATATGAATTTTAGTATGTGAATTGTTTTTTTTTTTTAAATGATATTTTTGCCGTCCTAATAGAAAACAACACTTTTCATTAAAAAAAAATTCAAGGCCAGAGTTATGGCATAGCAGGTAAGGCTGCCAGCTTCAACACCATTGTCCCTTATGGATGCCAGTTCATGTCCTGGCCGCTCTGCTTCCAATCCGGGTCCCTGCTAATGAATGGCCTGGGAAACATAGTGGAAAATGGCCCAAGTGCATGGGCCCCTGCCACCATGTTGGGGACCTGGACAAAGCTCCTGGTTTCTGGATGGTCCAGCCCTGGCCTTTGGGGCCATCCGTGGAGTGAACTTGCAGATGGAAGATTTCTCTGTCTCTCCCTCTCTCTCTGTGACTCTGACTTCTAAATAAATACGTCTTTTTTTTTTTTTAAATCAGTCACTCTATCATATGTATAAATTCCCTTTCTCACAACTTTTCATCAGAAAACGGAAGATTTAAGGGCCTGTAAGACAGTCTTGCTGCCTCTTGAGCTGACAAGTGTGGTGATAAAACTAAACTTGGGTTTGATTTATGACACAAGTTCTGTGGTAAATATATACCTTTCTGTTGACTGTGGATATAAAATCAGTCAGTAACATGTATCCAGTGCTTCCTGTGAGTCTGGCCAGGTTTCAAATGGAAAATGCACACAATCCCTTCAGTCTTCACTACGACCCCACTGTGCCACGATGCCCATTTTTCAGAGGTCCTAGCCTACAGAGAGGGGAGGTAAATTGCCCAGGTCACGTGGAGAGTAAGCAGTGGAACCAGCTGTCCGACTGACTCTGCAGCTTGTCCGTCCACATCTCAGGAACTTCCAGGAGGAGAAGGAGCAGCCTAAATCTGGATTGAACTGATTGCAATTTTGGCCAGAACACTGGTAGCCATCGCCAACTCTCCTGTGTCTCTGCCCAAGTCGGTTCTACTTTGGGCCAGGGAACACAGTCGGCAGCTTCTTCCTTCTTGCTCTTTCAAGCTGAGATCGTGGCATCATCGGTGTGGTTTTAGGGGCTAGGGGAGGCAATCGTCTGAGGCAGCATCTGGTGTAGAGTTAAGCTCAGTAGAGACACTTCATTCCTTTCCAACTGCAGGTTTGATACGGTGAATTAAAACTTGAGGCCTGCCTGCTCAGGGTTTAAAAGAAAATGCTTTCCTTCTTAGTATCTGCTATGCTTAGGAGGCCTGTGTGTGACTCTGATAATAAACTTGGATAGCATGCCTTAGCAACAGTAATATGTTTTGCTACAATATGTGGTAGAAGGGGGCGTGGCAGTTTGAAAGTCATACTCTTCCCACGGCACAGGGCTTTATTTTCCAATTTGATGCACTGTCATACTGTCAGGAAGGGCTTGGTATTTTGTCTGGCAAGTGACTAAGCCTGTTTGTCCGGAATTAATGAGAGGCGCTATTTTAAGCAAACAAATTCATATGAAACAGGTCAGTTTGGGGTAGTCACTGCAAATCTGTTTATTCCAGAATTCTTTGAAATAGTGGCCATGCTTAGAAATGTTCACTTAAGAACATTTGATTTCTGAAGAACCTTCCAGAAACATACTGCTGTGTTAGATAAGGTGAATAGATTTCATGCCTATTTTCACCTACTTGCCTTTTAGGGGTATGTGTGTGTGCATGTATGTGCTCTGTTCTGAATATTGGTGTCCCCCTAACGTACATATGAAGAGGTGCTGGTATTTGGGGGTGATTGAGATTAGTGCCCTTATGAAGCGGGCCCCAGAACACTGCCTTGTCCTTGGTGTGATGATTTGA